CTGTGCCGTCCCCAGCTAGCCAAGCCCCAGCTGGCCAGGGTGGCTGGCATTTGCGCCACTTAAGCCGGGCAGTGAGGGCTCTTGGACTCGTGGGGCGGACCAGTGGACCGCTAATGGACCGCTGGGTGGCTGCGCTGCGTCAGGGGGCCCCCCAACTGCCTCCACAGGACGTAGTGGGGGCTCTGGAGGCCTCCCGTGTCTGCGGTTTCTTCTGCCGGCCGCTGCTGCAGCAGCTGCTGCGCTGTTTCGCCCGCAGGGCTGCAGACCGCTCGCTGCCCCTAGATAGCCACACCCTTCTAGCTGCAGCAGCAGCAGCAGCAGCCCTCCCTCTGACTTGCCGGCCCTTTTGGGAGGCCATAGAGGTCTCAATTCGCCGCGGGCCTCTCTGCAGAGGGATAGGATTCGATCGGCCTCAGCAACAGGTAGAACAAATAGGGGCCCCCCGGTCATTGGGACCCCCCGAGTCACCAGGGGAGGCCCCTGGTGCTGACGGGGTCTCTAGGGGCCTACCGAGCCACAGCGACGCGACACTGACTGAGCTGCATCCGGCTGCTGCTGCTGCTGCAGCTGCTTCCTCGCAGGCTGTGTGGGGTGGGGAAGACCGGGAGGCGGGATTGACTCCAGCAAACAGGGTCTCTGGAGTAGCAGAGGTGGAGGCGGGGAAGGCGGAGGCAGAATTGGCTGTGGCCTTACTAGGAGCTGTTGCTGCTGCTGCACCTGCCCTACCTATGGACCTCCTCGCTGCAGCAGCACCGACCCTGATACGGCTGCAGCAGCGAAGCCTGCCCCTATCTGCATCCCTGACAGCATTAGGCAACGCTAGCCTCCTTTGCTGCAGGGCGGGGTTGGAAGATGAACTACAGCGTGCTAGAAGGCAGCCGGACGCGCCCTCCAGCAGCAGCAGCAGCAGCAGCTGCAGTAGCAGTAGCAGCAGCTTGGATGGGCTGATTGCAGCGGCAGAGTTGGGGCAGCACTTGAAGCGCAGAACCAGAAAGCAGGTCAAGTCCCTTCTGCTGTTGCAGCGCCGACAGCTGGAGAGCCTGCGGGGAGCTGCAGAGCTACAAGAGGAAAGCGGGGGGGAAACGGGCTGGCACAGGCTGGTTGAGGGCCCCCTTGCAGGGGACTGGCAAGCTTTGGAGTTGTGTGTCTACGGCATTTTGGTCGCCGGTCCCGCCACTGCTGCAGCGCCTGCTGCCCTTTTGCCAGAGAGGGAGGCTGAGGTGGGAACAGACCAGCCTGCTGCATGCGTTGAGGCACTGGAGGTCTTGAGCCACATCAGAAGACTGGTGGTGGCGAGGAGGGACTGCTGTAAACTTGTCTTTGGCTCACTGGAGGAGGCCGTGGCCCTTCTTCACCTGGAGCTGCAGCCTTACTGCCCAGATGCTGCACTCGCAGCAGCAGCAACGAGGCTGCTGCAGCAGCGGAAGCGTCTTGAACAGCAGCAGCCAACGAAGCCCAATGCAAGAGGAGCTATCGGCAACAGCAACGGCAACAGCAACACCATCAGCAACAGTTACAGCGGCAGCAGCAGGAGCGGCAGTCTGCCCCAACACGCACGGGCTCCCATCTCGAATGCAGAAAGGGCTCTTCCGTGCTTGCATTCTAATCTGCTGGCCAGAGGCCCCAGGGAAACTGTTCTGCGACTTCAGCAAAGTGGTGTCGCTGGGACCTGTGAGCCCCTCTGGGTACCGGCAGCAGAGTCCCTAGAGGTGATTTTAAGCTGCTGCAGCAGCAGACTGGTGACAGCCCCCACTCCTTCTCTTCTGCACGCAGCTGTAGTCACGCTGAGGGCCCTCGCGCACCCCAGAATGCTGCAGGGGCTCTTACGAGAGTCGGGGGAGGCCCAACGGCAAAAGGAGGCGAGCGCCACGGACGCGACGGCTGTGCTGCAGCTGCTAGAGCCCGAAGAAGCTAGTATCGCCTCCAGCCATCTTTTTGCTTGTATTGGGTCAGGGCAAGACCAGACAACGCCCACCATGAAGGATGCAGCAGCTAGCCCAAAGCTCCGAGAGGTTACTGAGCCCTTAACGGAAGCAGCAGCAGCAGCAGCCGCCTACAGCGAAGGTGTGTCAGTAGAGGACCAGGAGGTAGGAGCAGCTCTGCTGCTGGTGGAAATCTGTCTTTTGGTTTTAAGTGTCCTGAGAGAAAGAGTGATGCATTCGCTGCTGCAAGCGAACGAGCTCGCGCTGCTGGCTGCAGAGGCGCACCAACTGCTTCGGCGGCTAACTGCCCCCAGAGGCCCCGTTGAAGCTTCAGAGAAGTTCCAGGGGCTTCAAGGTGCGCCAAATAGCCCGCAGATGCAGGCGGCCTCCCCACAAGGGCCCCCGCAGAGGCCTCGGGCACTTCAAGGAAAGGACGAGCCTTCGCCTGACGCTGCTGAAACTGTGCGCAACTTTTCAAAAGTAGGCAGCGGGGCTGCTGCGGCTGATGAAGGCAGCGGGAAGGGCCTTGAAGGCGCAGCTTGGGACAGCCTGCTGCAACTAGAGAGAGAACTAGCCGCGTTTTTGGGGTCCCTGGGAGACCTGTGGCGCAAGACGCCCTGTACTGTGTTCGCCGCGGGGCCTTCCAACAGCTTTAGCGTTTGCATGGAGTTGGGACTGTTGGACACTGGTTTCGGTGCTACAGCTGAGCCTTTCGCCTCTGCCCGCCACCGGGAGCATCTGCGGTCCGTGGCTTCTACTGCTGGGGTTCCATTTCCAGCCACCGCGGGAAAAGAAATTAGAGAAGAGGCACTGCGCACTGCAGCACTCGTAGAGGCTCTTTGCCCTGCCGTTTATACTCCAGAGGGGCTGCGCTGGCTACGGAGCCGGGCCGGCGGTCGCAGTGCCGAATGGTCGCAGACTAACGCACCCCCAGATTCCTTTTTCTTGTCCCCATTGAGGCCAGTTGATGCCGATTTCTACAGAGCGCGTGCAGGTGCAACACAGGAGACGACTACTGAAGGAAAGAGCAGTGGAAACGCAGGTGCTTTTGCTGCAAATGCACCTGAAGCAGCTGCAGCGCTATCATCAAAGCCAGAATCAGCAGCAATTCGCAGGCCGGATTGTGATGCTAGCACCATGAGCAGTTTTCTCGGTGTGATATCTGCGATGGAAGAAGATGATCAGAAAGGAGAACACCGAAGAGAGAGACCCTCAGCCGCTGCTTTGCTAAAACAAAGGGAGCACCGCGACTTGGCGCTAATGTGGCTGTCGCAGCTCATGAGGTGCTGCGTAGCCCTGCACTAGGAGGTTTTGCTGTCTTTTTGCTGTATTTCGCAGACCGTAGGTAGTTGGGACAAGGTTTCACGCACACACGGGCTGCCTACAAGCGGCTGCAGCCTGAATTGAACCTGAATAGAACCCGCATCCTGTGGACGGTCAGGTAGAAGGCTGAGGCACCCCTTTGTCCAAATTCTTTACGTGTAGAACGCATGCAACAAGAGCAAAGGCGCAACAATGGAGAGTATAGGTCTGTTTTTTTTTTAACTTGCCGGCGTTATTTTTTAGTCTATCGTCTCATAAAGGCACGTCCGAACTGCATCCCCGCCAGCTTTGAACTCAACCGGGAAAGTTTCCCTTTTTTATTGTGCATGAGTGGATACTTGCCCCCAAAACTTATATATGAATAATCAGAAGCTCCCCGTTAGACTCAGCCATGCAGCCTACGCGTTTTGCCCGACAGCACGCAGAAACGGAGCAATTGCAGCGCGTGCATCTGGAAGCCTGCATTCCTATAAATCCGCAGCAAGCCAGTTAGGGGAATGCACTGCCCGGCGACGCATCGGGTATGAGATATTTCAGGCTGACGCCTGCCGTTGTGCGGGTCAACGAAGCGGGGCGGGAACGAAGACTCAGGGTGCTACACAGGGTGCCGAACAAGCGCGTGCAGAGGCTGCATCGTCACCGCACAATTCACGTTCACCAGCGGTGGGGATATTCCCCGTCAGGATGCAGTTGTAAGGGGAACTGGAATAATTGTATCTTAAAACGTGTAACTCGGCAATGCACTGACGTTTCGCGAATTGGAAATTCTGGGAAAATAAGCTCCGCTATGCCGGTAAAGCATATCTGTCAATAATGCAAAAGACGACGCGAAACATTCAGGAGTTTTGTCCCTCTGCGAACACCGTATACAGACTCATTCTGAGTCCAATGCGTATTTGATGTGCTCATATTTTGAAGAATAAATAATGATAATTCCAGCTGATTTGGAAGAAGTACTGTTGACAAATCTATACAAACTGTCGCTGGCGGACACAGTGTCACTGTCATACATCTTAGAACACAGAACCTTCTGAGTTCGGAAGAGAAATAAAGTGTTCGTTTGTGGTCAGTCGCCGCATTCTTTGTGTGTTGATGTGGCGTTCAGTGGTTTTCAACAGAATGGTGGAGAGGCTCATCGGGACGACTAGGTAGTTATTCGTATCCTCTGCAAATTAGTGAGCTGAACTGCCTTCTGCGCAACTGGTATCGGGAACCGCGTTGTGGCGATGCTAGCCTAAGTGATACAGACATAGCAAATAACAAGAAGTAACGCCAAGCACGTAATAACGGAAGACAGCCTGTGTATTTGCGCTGTGTGAAACGAAGGTGGGGCCTCGATGGTCATTGAAAGAAGAGCGGGCAGGAGATCAAAACTGGGAAATCAAGAGAAGAAGCAGTTGAATGTAGCACTTCAGAGCATTTCTACAGGAGCCTGTTATGGTTACCACATAGTTTGCAGCTCTTTGCGTTCGGCATGCGGCGGCTCCCACCAGCCACAGATTTCAAGAACAACATTTGCAAAGGGCTCGCTGCAAGACTTCATCAAGTATTCTTTAAATGTTATTTATTGCTTAAATATATTTTTGGTAGAGGGCTTTTTGCTTTAAAATGTACGTGGTTTTCAGCTAGAGACGAATGCAGCCGAGTCTCCCACCGCGTGGCAACAGTAGGTGAATTGACTCAGTCAGAGGGACTGGCTCCACGTTTTATCGCCTAGTCACCGTTCTGGTTGTTTTCCTTAACTTCAAAGCGAGAATGAAAGGCCGGTGGCGCAAAGACAAGCGACCGGCAGCGGAGAAGCCGAACGGGGCAGGTTCTTTTGCAGGAGGCTCGGCGGGCCAGCAAGCTCCGAACAACATTCTTGCAGGTTTCAGATTTTCTGGGACCGTCGACAAGGCTGCAGAGCAGCAAAGGGAGTGTTACGAAAATGCCCATGCTTCTCTTGTTCGCAGTCAATTTGCAATGTGCGACGGAGAGACCCACGATGATTTCATGGTGAGAGCAGCGCAGCGGAAATGTTCTGCTTTCCTCTAAACTGCATTGGGCTGAGGCACAAGGGAAGCACTGACAGAGTACCCGCTCATTCTCGTTGCAAACAGCACTACAACGAGTGCTGCAGGCCCTGTTCAACTTAAAGTTTCAGAGTTTCCTTGACTGGTATCCCATCTTTGGTCGAACTAATATACATGTTTTGCCATTTGCCCTCACTCGCTGTACTTTCGGCTTCAGAAAGCGCTCACGGGAGGCAGCATTTACATTCCTGCCTTTTTCAATGCGAGCGAAAGCGAGGCGATCTTCAACGCCCTCATGAAGGAGCTTTCGGACTACGCAAAGTGAGCACCAGCCGAAGTTCCTTAGAGAAGGGGCTTTGGCAGCTCTTGTAGTTCAAATTCGTCGGAGTCCACGTGGCTTTCAGACTGCGCAGAGTGCGCAGCAGCCAGAATGCCTTCTTAGCCAAGGGGTTTGCTGCTCTTATAATTCAAATCGTTTGAAGTCCCAACTTAAATGCATTGGCGCTTCTGTCCACACAAAATGGCCTTTCTCGTTCGCCCTGTTTGCTGCGCCCCCTCAGCGAACAGCAGCCGCCCCAGGCAGCTGCGAGTGAAGAGGCTGCCGCTGCTGCAGCAAGTGGGCCAGCTGCTGCAGCAAGCGGGCCAGCTGCTGCAGCAAGCGGGCCAGCTGCTGCAGCAAATGGGCCAGCTGCTGCAGCAAGCGGGCCAGCTGCTGCAGCAAATGGGCCAGCTGCTGCAGCAAATGGGCCAGCTGCTGCAGCAAATGGGCCGGCTGCTGCAGCAAATGGGCCAGCTGCTGCAGCAAATGGGCCCGAGGCGGCACTGAGCGGCGCGGGCGTGTGCCGGTGGTCGCGGCACTTGAAGCACGAAAACCCCGAGGGCTTTCCCACTTTTCAAAAAGTAGTTCAACGCATTTCGAGTTATTTCGACTTGGAGATTTTCGCAACTAGAATGAACATCTACCCCGACGGCTCCCACTGGAAGCCTCACCACCACGACTCCCACGCCTACTCCTCAGAGAGGAACCAAGTAAGCAACAGCAGCAGCAGCAGCAGCAGCAGCACGAGTAGCAGCAGCAACAGCAGCGGCATCAGCAGCACGAGCAGCAGCAGCAGCACCAGCAGCGCCAGCAACACGAGCAGCAGCAGCAGCAGCAGCAGCAGCAGCAAGGCCAGTCCGTCAGGCCTTCGTTTTTTTCTCTGCTGAGGGTTCTGTTTCCATTTTGCTTCACTCTTATGCTGTCAGGCAGAGGACTTCACCGTGGGCGCGTCGTTTGGGGCGCAGCGAGCCCTCGAGTTTGCGCACGTGAAGAGTGGCCTTAAGTTTCGCTTTCCGCAAACAAGCGGCTCCATTTTTTCGTTTAACTCTTTTGTCAACAAGAGCTTCACTCACGGCGTGCCGGCGGAGCCGGCTGCCAGCGTGGGCCCCCGCATATCCATCATTGTGTGGGGCCGGCGCCGCTCGCTGAACAAGTTGAATGCCTGTGCCAGCGAATTGAAACAGTAAAACTCCTTTCAAGTCGAAGCTTACATCGTCTGGTGCATTTTATTTGCTGCTGACGCAGCAGTAGATGAGCAGTTACTTACATATTTATACTGCTTGCAATGATGTTGCCGAATTCAGTCGTTTGGATACAAATTGCAAAACAGAGAAGGCGCGCACGTTCTTTCCGTTTCTTCTTGTGAATTCGGTTGAGATGCCAACAATAGTGATTTTTGAGCTTCATGTACAGCTCATGAAGCTCGGAAAAGCGACAAAGGAAGACGGGACGCGCTTGAATACTCAAATCCTTCAAAGTCAGTGCAGGTGCCATTTGTGCCCTTCCTTCGCCACTTGGTGCCGAAACAGAGCACAATAAGGGCATGAGCCATCCCAGAAGTCTTTCTCATGTAGAATTTCACCAATTTTCTGCAGCTACTGGACTCGCACGTGGATGATCTAGCGCAGTGCTGAACAGGTTTCGCCTGCCGGCTGCGGTGTATGTACTAACCAGATACGATAGCGCGCGTCTGCTGCTGCTTCGGGTTCTGAAACAGTAATGCTTCGGCAGCTGCGGAATATGCGTAAAATTTGAGTTTCGGTTTTTGTGTTCATGCATTTCGTTTCTCTTTAATTATTCACCGAGCTTACGCATACTGACAAAGGATTCGATTCCTTCCTTTTCATTTTCAACAACTGTTGGCGGGTCCTCTTTCTTTTCACAATGGGTCAATTTTGGGGGAAATCCGCGAAATATTCTCACGAGGAAAAACCCGTTAAGAAGTGGTATACGGACTCAGCCTTGACTCTCCTCACCGGCTGTCTCTCTTTTATTACATTTTTGTTGAATGCAACGGCCTGCTACGGCGGAAACCTGAGGCACTTGGCGCCATATGACTTGAACGGTTTGTCTCTTTTCCCCCTGCCCACTTTTAAGCCCTTTTCACCTTTTCTTCAGCTGATTTCTGCGGCTCCAAGCTGGTGGGCGAAGACCGGCAGTACCTTTACTACCCCGATCCTCACAATCCGACGAGTGGGATCTGCGTGGACTCGTGCCCAACAGGTTCGCGGTGCCTTTAAAATGATTCGCACTTGGTTTATTTTTCATGTTTTCCGTTTACAGCGGAAACGCGAGGCACCATCAACATCCCTGATGGCCTTGGGGGCATTCAAGTGCACCCCATAACGAGCTCGGAGTTGGTAGGCAGCAGCAAACGCACTGACAAATGAATAAATGAATAGAGCTGATCAAATATATCCAATGTGTTCTTCCTCAGGTGTCAGGACAATACTGTTTCCAGCGCCGGCTGAAGTCCCGGGAGATACTGACAACGCTGCAGCAGCAGCGGCCGTTTCTGTACAGCATCGTTCAAGACATTTTCAAAGCTACAGAAGTCCTTTTTGCGACTATCTTTCTTTCTATAGTGTTGGCAATTGCTGGCATTAAAGCTATGTTGAACAAAAGGGCCGGAAAAAATGTTTGTCTTGCTGCTTCTTTTGCCCCTTGTTTCTTTTCCCTCTTGACTGTCTTGCTGACTCTTTACCACTTCTTCACTCCGCGAGTTCTCCAACCTGGCTTTTCCTTGCTGCTCCTGTCGGGCATTTTGGTAAGGATTTTTATTTCCAATTTCTGCTGCCTCTTCTGACTTAGGCTCTCTTTGCACAGGCCACTATGTCCTTCTTGACGGGGACACTGCCGGTTATTTTTCCCAAGACTTACGGGAGGTAAGGCTGCAGCAGCAAATGGCGGCTTTTGCTGCAGCACTTTTCAAGTTGCTGCTGCATGCAGGTCGCGGCAGTTCATGCTTATTGGCGCGCAAGCCCTCGAGGAAATGCCCGACTTGTTGACCTTCATCATAGTCACAGTGGCGGGCATTGGGGTGACAGTCGTTTGGAACATTTGGATTTGCGCCTCTCTGCTCACTATGGGCAGGGCCGTCCCCCAGCCCCTTGTGGTGGACTCCCACGGCGAAACTTACATGGGCATTGTGGCTTCTTTCACGAGGACTCCGGGCCAAGGACTGGCTTGCTTGGTTGTGTTGGTGACTTTCGTTCTGCAGTTCGAAAGCGGTGAGAAGTCGAGGCGATCACGCTGCCTTTCGTGACAGTCTGCAGCAGAATTCAACTTGAAATGTGTCAATGAAAAATTCGATCCGCATAAAACATGGTTTTTTCGCATTTGCTGAAAATCCGAAAATCTGTTTGCAGCCATTGTTTTCACCAAGTTCCTCACTACCCGCTGCGTCAAGAAGTGGTGAGTTGATTTCAAATGCTTTTCTTTAAATTGATTCAAGAAAATCACTTCTTTCAGGTTCGAAAAACTGCCGAGGAACGGAGTCAGGAGCCCCAGATGCGACTACGTCTTGCCTGTTTGCATGGATGTGCCAAAAGACTGGGGCCCGATGGGAGCAGCAAGTTCGTCTCTTTGTCTCATTTTAATGTAACTTTCAACTTCTCATTTCACTTTCAGCTTTCTTTGCCCCAATCTGCCGTGTGCCCTCCACCTTTATGCAAATGGTAGCGGCTGAGAGCTCACTGGCGCCTCACACGGACACCCTTGCGACTTACCTGCAGCGTCGCTTTGCTTATCTCAATGACTGTCGTGAGTTATGAGGCCTAAAGTTGAATGAATGAATATATTAATAAGCTTTTATTTGCAGTTCTCTTCAACAACCAGCTGCTGCCTGTCAAGCTAGACGAAGCCAACGGTGGCTTTCTTGAAGCAGCTCTTGCCGGCTACATCGTGAGTTTCAATACTTGTCAAGAGTTTAAAAACAAGAAACGAAATGCAAGTGCAGGAGCTCACGCAAGGGAAAGTGGACGATCACTACCAGGCTCACCACTATCACATCCAGGAGTTGCTGAGGTAACTAGGAACTAAACTACAAGGAAAAGACGCATGGACTCAGACTTATTTTTCTTCAGCCCTGCATTTCAAATCGGCTTTTTCTCCACAATGGTAATTCTTTCGCAATATGCGTCACAAGGGACATTCCTAATTTTGTTGACAGAGCATTTTCGTTGCTGTGCTGACGTGGATTGGCCTAGAACTAGCGCCTATTTTCAACAACACGGTAATCAACTTGATTTATTGTGTTCATGTTTCATTTGGGTTGACTTTATTCGTGAAAATTCAGGGAGAAAAGGCGCTGGATTCGATCCCCGTGATCGTGCTGCTTGTCTTCGTTATGTCTGCACTTGTGCTAACAGTAAGTTGAATCGAATTTCCTTTTTGCATTTTCCTTTTTCATGTTTATTATTCGTTTACTATTCAGGTTTTTCAAGAAGCAGTGAACGCGGCAGCCTGTGCGGGGGTAATGTATTGGTCAAAGGCCGCGTCGGATGTGCTGTGGTGCAATTCAATAAATTCTGTAAGTTATTTGCTCAAGTGATTACTTAATGATCTTCACATGCTTTTAAATGCACATCTCACTAATATATTAAATATTCACTTGGTTTTTGTTTATTTTGCTGTATTGTTCATTTTTCGTGTTCTCAGGACACTCTTCCCGTATACGAGTCGAAACACCTGCGGAAATTTCTGGAACTGCTAAGGCGCAAATGCGACCGCCAGATTCTGTTTTAAATCCATATAAAGTTGGTGGCGAGATTCAGCCATGAACTATTACGGCAGCCGCTGCAGGAGGCAGCTGATCAGCAGCAGATGAATCGAAAAGATGAACGGCTTTATCACTCCAGAGTCCCGCAGCCGCGGCCAAGAACTAAAACACCCGCGATAACATTATGCTCTTCGGCGCATTTCGTATTTTCAAGTGAACGCCTTAATCGGCACATTTCGTATTTTGAAGTGAAAGCCTTGATCGGCACATTTCGTATTTTCAAGTGAACGCCTTGATGCTTGAACGTCCATTCCAGAACTGGAAACGCAGCGCAGATAAGTTGTAAATCAGAGCCATGGTTTCAGTCTAAGGCCCACAGTTTAGAGTATACTGTTATCGGCCAAAGCTGGGGGAAAAGTGATACACAGTGCACTAGCCTTCTACCCTTTTTACTGTAGAGATGGCTTCTGAACAATCGGCGAACACCGGTGTCAGTAGAGGCAGCTACTGGCGATAAATGAGTAATATTTGTCTTATAAGCGATAAACAAATGCAAAACTTGTCGCTGCAACGTAAGGCTGCAGGAAAGCTGCAGTCTGAGGTGAATATAAGAGGCAGCTGCGATTCCGGTGGCTCCATTGGCCACACAGGCGAATCCCATTTGCACGCTAGAGGCCATCTTGTTCTGAAAGAACATCTGCAGTTCTAATTAGCAAGAAACTCTGCCAAACATCGCTTTGTTTTGAAGAAAGTGATTTTGTTTCGACGGTCAACGTGTTATTTTGAATCGCGGTGCATTTAGACTTCGATTGAAGAACAACGCACGAACTTACAGGATTACGGATCTCCTTTCATCATTTTGTTCCACGGAAGTCCAGTATTCTCTTTAGAATAAAATAGAGTTTCATTATGTGGATGAATTAATGTGATATAATTGCACCCGGAAAGCTGTTTTCGTTGCGAAATTTTGGGCCTCTTCTTCTTGGGCCCCCCAGCCGTCGGCAGCACCTCATGGTGGGTTTTATTGCCCCTCATGCATTTCGCCGAGCAGTTGTGTGTTGGTTTATTTTTCAATTTAAAGTTCAATTTAGTTTAATGGAATTGCTAAAAAGTTCAGATGAGAGGCCTATTTGTCGGAAACTAGGAAAGGCTGCACAGCTGGCGTGGGGTCGCCCGCTTCCACAGGGGGCCCCTTCTCGCCTTGAGGAAGCGAGTTCGGAGTTCTAATTGGGTGAGTTACGTTTGCAAGATTATGCACGCTTGTCTGCTTAGCTAGATTGGTGAGAAAAGATTATAAAGCTACCTGAAAGGGATGAATTTGGCATTTTTCGGGCCACGCAGCAAGCCAGACAAGCCTCAGAGCGGAAGTCATCGTTCCCAGTGGATTTTTGCATCTTCTTCAGTGAGTAAGATCCATATTATTCTTTGATTTTTCAATGATTAACTTCGCTTTCCTTTTGTTTTTCAGTTCCAAGGGAGGAAGCATTTGCGCCCAGCTGCGGCTCTGCCTAGGACCTCAGCTGATTTCATGTTAACGCGTTTTTCAGAGGGCACGCACAAAGGCAACAGCATAGACGAGCACGGGGAAAAACGCAAAAATCAAATCAAACAAAGCAAACAAAATAAATTATTTGCAGACAACTGAACCTCCAGACCGCCGAACGACGAATCAGGAAGAGAAACAAATTAGCTTGACCCCAGAATCAACGGAGCAGGCGGAGGAAGCGAAAGCGCGGGCAGAAGGGACCAGATATAAAAGTCTGAAAAGGATAGTTCAACGAAAAGACAAATCTTTCAAGTAAAGCCAAACTTGATGAGCTCCGTGAAGATTTAATTCAAAATTGAGACAAAATGCAACGCGCACAACAAACCCTTCTCTGGGCAGCCCGCCGCTCCTTCGCAGCCCCTGCCGCACGGCAAGCATAACATCAAACCCTAAACCCTAAACCCTAAACTCTCAACCCCTACCGCTAGCACGAACTGTGAACGCGGAAGAACAGCTCTGGAGTCTACTCCATAACCCGGAGTATATGAATTGCTTGCCTCTTTGTTTTTTGTTTTTACCACTTCAGGGCTGCTCTATGGCTAAGAGAGGCTCCTGCCATTTCTTTTGCAGCAAAAGCCTCCGGGGGTTCCGTCTGCGTGCCGCCAGCTGGTGCTGCTGCTGTTGCTGCTGTTGCTGCTGCTCCTGTTCGTTGCTTCTCCACAGAAAGCAATGAGGCGCCCGCTGCAGTATCGCCGCAGGGTACATCCACCACCAGAACTTTACCAATTAGCTAACGTATTCATTTTCTACTTATTATATCTTTTCTTTTAAGCTCGATGTGAATTTAGGTGCCTGCAACGCAGCGTTTTGATTGCAAAGATGGACGAACCAGCTGCGTATCTCCCCATTTTATTTATCCGCAATTAATTTTCTCTCATAATTCTTTTCTGTTTGTGCTCTTTTTCAGAGAGCTTGCAATTCAGAGACTCCGTGAGGAAGTTCGCAGAGGAGGTTCGCTGAGATTTAAGGGTTAGGGTTTAGGGTTTAGGGTTTTTCGCCGATGATGTATTCACGTTTGCGGGCCTTGCGCTGTCCGTAGAGTAGGCCTAGCGGAGGGTTAGACAAGTACGACATGCAGAAAAATAAGTATTTACTTTTTTATGTCTATTTTCAACTTTTAATTCCTTTTCTTTCCTCTTTCGCCCATTCGCTCCGCAGGAAATCGGGCCGCTTGTCGCCAAAATGGAGGAGGAGTGCAACATCAGCCTGGACGTTATCAGCGCTTTGTTCCAGCAAGGTAGCGGGAAAAAAGAATTATTTAATTGATTGACTATAGCTGCTGCTTCTGTAGCTTTTTCGGATGCTACCGTTGTGTGTGCTCCTGATTCCCTGGCGGTGCAGCTGCATGCATTGACGCTTCTGCTGTTGCTGCCGTTGATGCCATTGCTCTGCTCGCCAATACTGCGCACATTGTTGCTGCCGCTGCAGCGACCTATTCTTCTGCTGCTAGTGTTGCATTAATCGCTCGCTGCTTCTGCTGCACTCACTGCTGCTGCTCCTTCCTGTGCATGCATGCCCTGCTGCTGCTGCTGCTGCTGCTGCTGCTGTTCTAAGGGTTTATGGCGATGGGTGTGAACTCTGAGGATGGCGGCAGCGGCATTTCTTTTCTCGATAGTTTGCTGGTTGTCAAGGAAATGAGCCGAGTCGATCCCGCCGTGGGTCTGATGGTGACCGTACATGTACGCGACTGATTAGCTATCTTATTCACTTAATTAATTAATTAATTAATCAATTATTTTTTGTCTGTTTTTCGAAACTCCTTTCGATGCTACCGGCCGACTTAATTCTCTTGTGTGTTTACTGCGCCAAGCAGTAACCAGTTTGCTCTTTAAGCTGCTTTGCTTATTAGTACAGCATTCACCCAAAGTAATTGACACTGACTCTTTTTAGTTGTTAAATTGCTTGTGTTTGTTATTTTGGTTTTTTATTACATCAGAATCACTTGGTCCTCGGAGCGCTTAACCGCTTTGGAACAAGTGAACAAAAGGACAAGTTTCTGCCAATTTTGAGTTCAGGTATGATTGAAACAAAAACAAAGATTAACTAGCTGGAAAAATAAATGGGTAAATCCACAAATAAACGAATAATAAATGCGTCGTGCCCACATATTCATAGAAATTTTATGTATGCAGAAGCATATATATATATGCATATAAGTACACGCATGTATGCATATATGTTATACATATTTCTGACCCAACGGTGGGAAGCAAATTTAAAAAGGTGCAGTAGCAAGATAATTGAAGCCCAACAGCAGCAAAGTGAACACTCAAGTCATGTCTCACAGTTTTCCTGGCATCTTAATTTGCTTCTTTGTGTGCCGTCAATGCCTTTTTATCTTCAGACACAGTTGGCTGCTTCTGCCTAGGCGAGGACCATAGCAACAGTGGCAGCAGCAGCAGCTTGTTTGATTTGAAGTGCACGGCCACCCGCGACGCGGAAAAAGGAGGATGGGTTATAAACGGGAAGAAGAGATATGTTTTGAATGCGAAAGAATCGGGGTTGTTTCTAGTCGTCGCTGTTACTGGTGCAGATGAGGTAAACACACGAAGAGTCAAAAGAATTGAATTGGGAAAAATAGATTAAAAAAGTGTATATGAGCTGATCGGCATGTAATTATCCTGTATGCAAGCGCTTAATAAATGATAGCAAGTAGACAAAGTCGCCGTTATGCTGGTCCATACGTTTTCGTTTGTATTTAATTTGGCGACATTAAAAATGGATCAGCAGGTGGATGAAAAGGAAACTAAGAAGCATAGGTGGCTGGGTAGATGAAAAAAACAATCATCAAATCTGTCTTTTGTTTTTTATATAAGTAAATACTGCTGCTGCACAGGAGCAGCGGAAGTACTGATAAGCCCAAACACTCACCATGGATATTCACCATTTATTTTTGGTTTGGAGCATTCAACATTTGCCAATCGCTATTTATTTGTATCGTTCTGCGCAATATATTGCAGGCAGAAGGACAACTAACTTGTTTCCTAGTTGAGAGAGAAGGCATAAAGATAGAAACAGAAACGGCGAAAGCTGGATCGCAGGCGTCTTCTGTTTCTGAGGTGTCCCTTAAAGGCACATTTGTGAGTGCACAGTAGAAATATATAAAGTTAAAAACATTAATTTGCAAGCTTAATAATAAATAAAACTACTTTGCTTGCATGCACTCCCATCCACTATCGGCCCCCCTGCTTATTTGCCTTTCCTGTTCAAATCTAAACCCTGAAGTAACTGGAATAGCTTGAACTCCCTTTAATTTTAGTAATTAGTAAAAAGCGATTGGCCTGGTAGTGGCAATCAATCAGGGCCTTCAGTTAAGGCCCTAGACCCTAACCCGAAGCTCTAAGCCCTTAGCTTTAAACACGAAATCTTGAACCCTTCACCCTAAGCTGTTGAAGCCACGCCAGAAGCTTCAAGACCTTAAATCTTTAGTGTCCAATCTAAACCCTAAGCTCTTGACCCTACGCTCTAAGCCCGAAACTCTAAGAACCGAAATTCCCTGATATGACTGCGTATGCATTTTGCTGACTTCGTGGACACGGGGCTCCGTAGAGGCACTGACACACCACTTTTTTACCCTAAACCCTAAACTCCTATTTTTTTTTCATTGCTCTGCAGGTGCCAGACAGCCACGTCTTGGGGCCCGTGGGGGGAGCGAAAAAAATATGCGATGAGCTTTTAATGGACAGCCAAATTGGTACGCAAAAGACTCAATTTTCTGGATTGATTGAGAAGTACAATTTGTTTACGATAGATAAGAGACTCAACTGAATCAATTGGAGTTGGAACAAAATCACGCATTTGCATTCCAAAGCGTAGACCCTGAATCCCAACACCTAAACACTCAACCCTAAACCCTTAATTCAACTCCCACCAAAAGTCTCAGAGGGCTGTCTGTTGTCAAGCACAAAGCCCTGTGCCATAAACCCGGGGCCGAATCGCTGTGTATATGTCTAGGGCTTGCCCTGTGGGGTTCAGACACTGGGGTTATTTTTAAGGGTTTGAGTTTTGGGGTTTGTGGTTCAGGAGTAGCTGCGCAGCAGCTGGGGCTAGCCGAGGGCGCGCTGCATGTCGCTCTTCCCTATCTGATAGAAAGGCGAAAAATAGATGAAGATGCAAAGAGCAGCTACATTAAATACGAAGTAGCCAAGGTAATTAGCAATATCAAACTGAATTGCTCCAATTTGCACGCAGTAGTGGGTGATGCCTACTTAAAACTTCAAGAATAAGTACGCCTTAAAATCAGAGGAAGAACACTTGACGAAGCAGCAGCGAAAGCAAACGTCTGAGAAACGATGGGGGACAAACACAAATAAATACACAATCCCGATATTACACAAACACAAGAAGAAGTATACTTTTATATTTGGCAGTCGATCCTCGACTCAGATCTACCTAGGTAGCTGCTACTAGCTAACCCCACGCTGCAACTCAGACGTGCACTACCGTTAGCTCGTTCGTATTTTCCTCCCCCATTGTTTTTGTGTTTAAATTTGTTCCTAAAAATATTTTTCCTTCTGTCTCAGGCAGCAGCAGAAATCGAGTCTGTGAAAGCGCTCGTGTACTATGCCGCCTCCCTGCGCACAGCAGCCGCACCAGCAGCAGCAGCGGCAGCAGCAGCAGCACGGTATAAAGCAGCTGCTACTGCTGCAGCGGTGTCTAGCAAGTGCGTGGATCTCGTGGGCCCTTCGGCACTCAGCAAGGATTTGGAGAAGTACTACAGAGATTCCAAATCCACAGCTTATGACCTCTGCGGTGAGGAGCAGCTGCTGCAGCCCATCTTTGAAGCTCTCATAAACGAATACAGTTGAAAGAGAGCAGCAACAGCTGTGTCGCACGTTAGGAACTGCTGCTGTTGCTGCTTCAGTCCAAAAGTAGCTGTTAGTTCCTTGATAAAGGAACAAGGAGCGACTAGGCAGCTGGCTGCCACTGAAGCAGCACAAAATACGGCGACTTGAAAGGACCCAAACAGCGTCAAAACGAAAGATGAATAAATGTGTAAATGCACGAGCAAATCAGCCAATCAATAGTGCATAGCTTGCTCCCTCGACGAAGTCTCCATCTTTCACTGTATGCTTGAAGCCACAGTGTGGCAACTAATTAGCTGCCTATGTATCGTCTATTTATTATTTTGTTTATTAACTTGTATATTATTTTCGATTAATTACCTGGTTAAAAGCGTGCAAAGGAACTGCTGGTGCGAATGCCACTCTTGTGTCTGTGCGTGCCTTTGTGTGCAACGCTGTCTAGTATGCAGCTGCAGAAAAAGGAGAGCTGGAATTTAGCTTTTGTTCATATTTAGAAAGCTAAATAGGAAACCAACAACATTAATGAAGCTTACTGGAAAATCAAAGGAGTTTCATTTTAGCCTCGCCTCTTCTCACTGCAGCGGTCGCGATTAGTGCTTTCAGACTCACGAAACTTGAAATTGAAGATTTTTAAACAGCTTCATTTGGAGTATTTATTCGCAATTAACTTATCTGTAGGTGCCTTTACTAGCTACGCTGCACTATTTAGCAATGGTACGAGCTACCATGTCTCAAGCATTTGTTTTGTATCTATATATTTGCACTGCGTTCGCAGAAGGATGCACATTAATATATTGGATTTAAAGATGAGAGGAACAAAAGATAAAAATTGAGTCTAAATTGGCTTTTGGCGGTTCAATACGGGATGTGTATGCCCGTGCTGATTTGTAAACGCATACAAAATGCATATGCATATTTCGCATATGTAGCATGCATGGGCATACACACTTTGCGTGTAGATGTATATCCACACAAAGTGTGGATATTCATATCATATGTGTGTATGCATGATACACATACTGCACATTCTTCCGAATATGCACTGGATATACACAGGTGTATAAGGAAAACATATTGCGCATACCCACATGAGCAGATGCTTGAATTTGCATCCATGTTTATCTGCACAGATATGTAAGCAGCTTATTGGTTCCATTTGAACTTAACGCCTTTGTGTTGACATGCCTGCGTTAGCAGCCTCAAGTATATGCCCTACTGCACATAATACATCCCCTTGTTAGTTTCTAGGCTCGAGTGAAGATAGCCCTTTTACATTTACATTCATATGCATGTACTATACATAAGTATATATACATATGTATAATACAGTTACATAATATAAAAAAGATGCCCGCTATGAGTGTCTTAGAAAAGATGCCGGCTGTGAGTGTCTTAGACATCTCCAAATGGAGAAGGCAAGGTGCATTCTATGTAAAAACAAGTGTGCGAGTATACACCTCTAGTTACTCACGGCATTAGTAGCACACCAAGACACATATATATAACATAAGATACAGATTAGATATAGGCATACCTATATATATTTTACACGGTACCTATATATTTATGCACACTGAAAATACATACACATGCATGTATTTACAGGCTTCATGAAAACGTACGTGGATGTACCTGAGAGTACGTGCTAGGTGCCGAACTGACTGTTTAAAACTTGAAGAAATCACTTAAATAAAGAGAGATGTTTTGAGTGCTCAACGGGTGCAACATAATGTGCAAAGAACGGGAATAGAGCGAAGGCGGGAGCCCCGTGAACAGCACAGAAATATAAATGAAGGCGCTATACACCGCAGGGACCTGAAGCAAACAAAGACGCATACAGCGGCTAACGCCTTCACCAAGAAGCAACTGGAAATAAGTTTGGACGCCAACACTCGAAATTCATTTGCTCCCGTAGCTCATGCTCCCTAATCACTTGCTTTTGCACCTGCTGCCTCTGCTTAGTTTCACTATTAAAAAACACCACCCAAACAGCCGAAAAAGTAAAGGCAGAAACTGTAGTGAGCTATCCAGAACGCCTCCACCAAGACTGCCGGTATCATGGAAATGGAAACAAAGACAGAGGCGACCGTTGTGAGTTGGGCCAACCAACTAATTGAACAATCATCAGAAATAAATTAAAGTTGAAAGCCATATTGCCGAAAGTAACTGCAAAGTCCAGGACGGTGCGAGAAAGGAGCCTTTAGTGGAAGTCTGACATGAACAGGAAATCTGCAACGTTCTATGAGCGACTAACTTCCGCTCGCTGCTTGCTGGCCACCTAGTGTAAACGGAAAGCAAAAAGGCCCCTAAAAATCATTAAAATGAAAATAACCGGTGCAGAAGCAACAGAAAATAACTTTATTTTTAGCTGAAAGCTTACGCGAGACAGCAGCAAGTATAATAGAATCGTGGAAACCAACAGGCAAACGCGCTGCCCCCAGGCGTAGTTGTTCAAAAACCGGTTCACGAAGCAAGTGTCCGAAAAGTACGGAGAAATCGCCTGCCAGCCACTGAGAAAAACGCCAAGAAAAAAGCAATTGCAATTAACAAACTACTAGATGATGAGAGCTAGAAAGACCAGATTAAGCTGAACCAATAATGCATGCAAACACCAGCCATTCACCCTAAGTCCACACTTTAACGTGCACTAAGAAGGGCTGAATCATTTGAGGCAGGACCTTCCGTCATAGTTAAAAGGATTGAAGCTAGCAACCTTTACAGGGGCCAGGAATAAAAACGAAAATATATATTGAGCGGATACAGAAGTATAGCCTTAACATGCTGCTTTTTGTTGTATTCATCTGTTGCATACACGAGCTGACTAGCAAAGCGTGCAAACCACAAAGGCAACTCCTACAAGCAGAAAATTGACACATCAATTTAAACATGAATACAAGTAAATTAAACTGCTGTTGGTTTAATTCGCCTACTCGAGAGGTGGGAAGGGGATGAGGTTCACAACGGCCGACATGAACTGCAAGAAAATGAAGCTGCAGAAAGCCAGAGGAGACAAAAGTGCCAAAAGCCTAAACAGCTCCTTCCGGCTTTTCCTCAAGTTGATGCAAATAGGGAAATAAAGCAATAACCAAAGGCAAATTTGGAAAGGCGAAATGGACAAACGAACGAAAGGGCATGGAAGCGCCAATTAGCGCAGACGGCACGAAAGAACAAACAAACACACACACAACAAACAAGCAAAGAGAAAAGTAAGAAGGAAACGAATGAACGAGAGAGCTTCAAATCAAAGAAGAAAAGTAAGCAAAGAAAAAGACACACGGGAAAGTGCATGAGCGAACGGTCCGGTGCGCAACGAAGTAAAATCAAATTGACGGGTGAAAAAACAAATAAAGAGGATCGCCAAAATACAATCCACAATCGATACAAATGAGTAAACATAAGGCGAAAAAAACTAGGAGTACCTGGATGCAGACAGTGCAGTAGCATTCGTCAGGAACGGTGAGCGGCCCAACTGCGTCATTTTCTACTATTAACTCACCAAAAAACATTATGGGAACATTTTTATTTACTTTCGAACTAGCGACTCACCAAATGAGGCCGATAATAGGCAGAGGAATGATTGAAGGATTTGCACTTGCAACTAAAATATAAACTTGGACACAAAAACTGCCCAGCATGCCAAGCAGCAAGTTGGTGGCGGGCCCGGCTGCAGAAAGCAGCAGCAAACATGCAGAAGGGACTAAGAATATTCACAAGCAACTAAAAACTTATTTTGAGTTGTTTCACAATTCAAAGCGCGAAATGAGAACTAGAAACAGCCAGCAACCCACCCAGCGCCATGGCTGTTTTCCACCCACGGCTGCGCACTGCGCGTTCCTGTAAGGCGAAAACAGAGAAAAATAGAGGTAAAAATAAGACTTTGACTCATTTCTTTGTTTGGCATAAGTCAAGTGGGGTGAATTAACAAATGCTTCCTAATTTTGAGTTCAGTTTAATTCCAACACCTACGTGAGTACAGGCTTATCAATGTGCATACGTGCATGCGCTTAAAAGCAGCATCTTGATGCACGAAATAAGCAGCACTTTAGTGGAAACCTCTAGATTTGCGCACGCATGCATTTTCTGGCGGCAATAACACTTGTAGAAGTATAGATGAAAATATTTAGTGGTGCACTTTAAGACCTGTAAAACAAGAAACAGGCAAGTGAACTACGCCATAAAAGGACAAAACAGAAGACCAGTGTTTTAAAGCATCTTGTGGACAGAGAAACGGCCAAAATGAGAGGAGCAAAGCAGCGAAAAGACGAGCAAAAACGCCGGGCGGACAAACAACTAAGGATGCAGCTTTTTGACAAGGAAACAATGAAGAGGGGGTAATATGAAGATTCAATTTTAGATTAGAAGGATTTCTAATAACTTAGAAGTAATCTCTGATAAGTGCATATATGTTACTAAATGTATCTGGAGTTAAAAACAGAAAAAGTAGTAGATCTAAATATGGTACTAAAAAATACTGACACAAGTAAGCAAGTATAAATATACTAAGGAGTGCTCTTTAACTCACATCTATGTTCACTCTGCCTCCAGGCAACACCATTCCTCCGGAAGCCACGAAGAACACAAAAATGAGAACGTCGAGGATCCCCACGTAGCGAATCAAGTCGCACGTCAGGTACCCCTGAATGCGGAAAAGACAGAAAATAAATCAAAAAAGTAAAGCATTAGATTAAATATATAATCACAGCAAGTTTCAGAGAGGGTGAGGCGAAGGTAAGACTTGTTTCGGCAGACACCTTTTGAAACTGGCTGCTTCAAATAAAGAGGTGCTGCTGTAGGCCACAAGAAAGCAGAAGGCGCTTCGCCGCACTGTTTCGTGGGGGCTCTTTTTAGTAATCAAATGGCAATTAAATTAACAAAATGAATAAATTCAAAAAACTATTTTATCACCCACCGACTCTGCCACTCCCTCCACCCCGGCATGGTAGGCAGTAGCCGCATGTGCGAATTCGTGGAGGCAAAGGCCAATAAGACACAGCAGCACTGTGAAGGCAGAAACACAAACCTGAAGACAAACAGTACAATTAAAAAGGAAATAAAGTAAAGAAGCCTCATTAGCGCAGCTCAATGGAAATGCCGCTAAGTCCAGAGGCGCCACGCCAGCAGGTAAGCGTTTGGGGTTCACGGCGAGGGAGCCAGTGCCAAGTGTTTACGGCTGAAGGGATGAAGAGTGCTGCAAGAGCAGCAGCAACGCTAAGCAGCAGCAGCAGCCACAGGACAGGCGAAAGGCCGAAGATCGGGGGGGCCCAAAAAAGGGGTCGAGGCCCCCAGGTAGGCCGCAGGACAGAAGCTGGGGGGAAGCAGCAAAGGGGCTTCCTGGAGGCTTCAAGGCATCTTCCCACAATACCTTGCTGCTGCTGCTGCTGCTGGCCGCCTGCAGCCAAAGGGAGGGCTAGACCCTGCTGTCGCGTGCTGGGGTTGGGCCCAGGCCAAATAATGCTGAGGCCATAGCAGAAGAAACACACGAGGGGGGCTGCAGCTTTCTGTCGATGCAAGTTGCATGTTGTCGGTGTGGTGTCTGCGGGCAGCTGCACCGCACGATCTTCCCCTACAGCCTAAGCCCCCAACTGTTAAGTTCTACAGTAATATCTGAAATTCGAATTTATATTGGTGAGAATAGACAGAAACGCACTCGCCCGTTGCTGTTATACGAGGGCCTCCGCCTTGCGGCTGCGGCGCCATCGGTGTTGCGAGGAAAGCAGACAAAAGCTAAAGTGACCCGCAGCAGTTGTCGATGAACTTTGTTAGAATGAAAGTGATTCAATAAATATAATTGAATTCCTTGGGAAAAATTAAAGGAGGACACGACAAACTAGGCTGTGGCTGCTGGACCAAAGCCAACCCGTCGGCGGTGTCCGCAGCCCGGTTGACTGTTTACAGAGAACGGGACCAAATTTGATAGTTGCAGTCATCGTATTTATTATTTGAGTTTCGTCTTTTCTTTACACCTACAAGGCGTACCCAACCGCACACATGGACTTGTTTTGATCGGTCGAATGAGTGAGGAAGCACTGTATGGCCGATTGGCTGGGGCCGGTGCTCTTTGTGTCGTCCCTCTAGGAGTCTACTCTTCTTTAATAATGAAAACCATTCATTGGATCTGTTTCTCTGGTCCTTGATCAACTAATAATAGTCTTTAAGGGAGCGACTAGGGAAATATGGCCTGGTGCCACTTAACGGGGTTCGGCATTTAATCAAGTAGAAGCCGACAACTTCTGGCACCAGTCTATATTGCGCAAAACAGATTGAAATTATATAGTAGGAATTCAAGCAAGAAGGATTCAAAATGACGAGGGCTCAAGAAACCTTGCCCGCCTTCGTCTGCTCTAATATCTGAGAAACTCTCAGCAGGAGAAAACACATTGGGGGTCAACAAACACAACGTTTTGTGCCATGATTGAATGGAAAATAGTGCCTATATTTTTGCTGCCGAACGTGAATTTGGACTGCACACACACCCGAATAACAGCAGCTACGGACTGCCATCCTTAGCTGCCTCTTTCTCCAGTCGCATCTTACAGCTTCTGCTGCTGCTGCTGCTGCTGCTGCTGCTGCTGCTGCTGCTATAGAAGCAACGGCGACTGGGGGCTGCAGTAGCGCCACTCCAGGCCGAGGAGCACAGGGGCTGGGGGGGAAGCAGCAGATGCATTTGAACAGACTTTGCTGTCCCTGCTGCTGCTGCTGCTGCTGCTGCTGCTGCTCTGTTCAAAGCCTTCAACACAAGCTGAGGGCTTAGAAATATATGTACATTTGGAGTTGATTGGGAGACGGGAAAGCGCACACGCGGGAGGAGCCGGCATCCGGGGTATTTGTGCACATGGCGCCGAAGTCGCAAAGAAAGCAGCAGCAGCACCGCCTTGATCAAGCGTTCCTCTTTGGAATTCTTTGCTCGATTCCGTCGTTGCTGCTGCTGCTGCTGCTGCTGCTGCTGCTGCTACTGCTGGAGTGAGTGTTTGTGCCATGTCTTGTTTTTCATCATGGGCTGCCGGGAGCCGAAAGCCTGCTTCCTCGGCTAGCGGCAGCTGATGAAACTCTAGATGCGAGTGTTGTTGTTGTGAATAGGATATGGACTTACATCTTTTGAATGGACAAGTAGCATCGCCAGCTGGGACCACCGACCAATGGCCCACCACTCCCGGTGACTCCAGTGCTCCCCGTCGCTTCCTGCACCTGCTTTCCATGTTGTTTAAATCGGGAAAAAAACAAAAGGATCAATTTAAACTAAACTTCTTCATATTTCGGCCTACGGGGGCTCAGGAGAAGGACGGAAAGCTGAACGGCACTGTGCGGGCGACGGGGAGCAGTGCAGCGCGCGGACCTGAAAATCGCCGATCCATCCGTTCCTTCCCATTTCAAGGCGAAAACCAAATAATATTTTCTTGAAAATTACAATTACGTATCAAAAAGAGAGAAATAGTTGCAGGAGCTGAGAGAAATGCGCACAAAGGCCACTTCGGTTGACAAGGGTCGGCGGCGGCCCCCGGCGGAATGGCAGCCACCACATGCGCACGGACTCTCTTTTCCTTTCTCTAAGGTCTATATTTTATGATGAAAGCAAATTTAAGAAGCTTAAAATAATGGAAAGAGGGATTTATATTAGAAATGGCATTGATAGGCCTACTAAAGTGCCCGCTGTCCACTGGAGTGCCTTACTGGACTTGCACAGATCCCACTGAGCGCTTGCTTGTGGCTTTGTTTGCTCTTTGTACTGTTCTTGAGAGATCTTGATGAAGCAGAAATGACCAATGGTCACCCTGAGCAACGCTTGAGGACACAGCAGAGTGTGAACACACATGGCGGCGTGGAGGCTTTGAGCCTGAATGGCAGCAAAGTATTATTCCTCAAATACGAAGTGTTATTCCCCTGTGCTGCTGCAGATGGCCCTGAACTACAGCCACAGGCCTAAAGTCTGGCAAGTTCTAAGTTGAATAAGGGCTCGTTCAGTGGGCGCTTTGCATCTCACGCCATTCATGCAAATATGAATTAAAATTTGCACAAACTGCGCAAATATTCACTTATTTCATTCAAAAATATACACAGATTTGCATGTTTACTTAAAAGGCTCTCCCAAGATGCCTGCAGTTAGTGCAAGTGCAAGGCCGAACTCCGCCGCAGCAGCACCCCCGCTACGGCGAACAGGCAAAGCTGGGGCTGCACTGCAGGAGCAGCGCTGCTGCTGCACTACAGCAGTGCTGCTGCTGCTGCAGTGCAGCAGCAGCCGCTGCTGTGGGCGCCGCGTCTGCTGCTGGGGCGGCCCCCGCTGGGCTCTCTTCGGAGAGCAGCAGCAGGGCCAGCAGGCGCCTCTGGAGATCCGCTTAAAGGAAATAACTCCCTCAAAAGTCTTCGGCATTTATATTCTTCATTACTTCTCTCAAGTCTAAACTTGCTGCAAAAGTTTATGGCGTTATTTCTGTATTCAAGATTTGCACTCAAGAGGCCATTCATACTTCAGGCTCCCGCTAGGCATGTGTATACTTATACACATTTACCCGAATATCTATATGTATTTACTTATATATATGTATATACATATATATATATATATAAATATGTATATACATACATATAAGTAAATAAATATATAAGAATAAATGGGTGAATAGCTGCACAGATATATTTCTATTGGTCTATTTCGTGTATCTCTGTGCCCATAGATGCATGCATGCATGCACTGCATGCGCGTTTTGCAAAATGTGAAAAAGGATATTTCAAAAGTAATTATACTTTTGCATATTTCCTTTTTACAAATTTATACTTTTGGGGATTTCCCCCTGCGGCCCGGCCCTGAAGCAGCTGCTGGGCGTCCCAAGGCCAGAAGCTGAGCTGTCTGCAGCTCAGCAGGCCTTCTCTAAGCAGCAGCAGCAGCTGCTGCTCTTGCTGCTGCTGCTGCTCCATACGGCGGAGCAGCAGCAGCAGCAGCAGCAGCAGCAGCTGCTGCTGCTGCTGCTGCTCCGCCGCATGCACCGCAGCTGAAAACTGCTGAGATCCGCTGCAGCGCAGCTGCGCAGCAGGCCTGTTGCTGCGCCTTCTGCTGCTGCGGAGTTTGCTGCTTCTTCCCTTCAAAAGCAAAACCAAACATTCGGAAATCAAATAATAGAGGCAGCAAAGCAGCACAGCACAGCTGCAAGAGGCAGCAGCAGCAGCAGCAGCCTAGCACGATGCGAAGCTGCTGCTGCTGCTGCCCCCCAGGCAGCACCCTGAGCCCCACTCCAAGGGGGGCCCCCAGCTGCTGCTTCTTGCTGCAGGGCCTCCGCAAGTGCAGCAGGGGGCCCCTAATTTCTTTTTCAGGGAACTGTGGCACCTTCGTGCTGCAGTTAACTGCAGCAGCAAGGAAAAAGAATTCTAGTGAGTCTGCAGCAGCAGCAACTCTGAAGACAAGCTCAGCAGCAGCCCATCAAAAAGCCAGCAAAGATCTCAAGGGCTGCTTTGCTGCTGCCTTTAAAGACTTTTTGAGTTTTTTAAATTTGTCTGGAGCTGCTCGCAGCTGCCAGCTGCTGCGCATTTCAGGTGTACGTACAGCTGGACAGCTGCGCCCTACAGTGTACGCTCAGCCGCTGCTATTGCTGCTGCGCGCTTCCGCCTTCAGCAGCAGCAGCAGCAGCAGCTGCTGCTGCTGCTGCTGCTGCGGCTCTTGTACCGCCTCGTCTTCTAAAGGAGGGTTAAGGGCTGCAGCAGCAACTGTACAGTGCCCGTTTCCCTTTGGAAGCAGCAGCAGCAGCAAAACGACCAAAAATGAATTTTTAGTTTTTGCAAAGAAGAAAGTGCCTGGGCCCCCTGCAGCAGCTCAGGGCGCCTCCCGTTTATGGCTGCGCCCCCTTGCCTGCTGCTGCTGCTGCTGCTGCTGCTGCTGCTGCTGCTGCTGCGGCTCTTCTACTGGCTCATCTTCCAAGAGCGGGAACCTGAGAATAGCAGCAACTCCGCCGAGGAGCCCCAGCTGCTCGCCCGTGGTGTGCTGGTCTGAAAAGGTGAGAGTTTCAGCTCCTGCTGCTGCTGCTTGCTGCAGCAGCAGCACGAAGAACTTGCGTTCCGAGAGTTCGCAGCTGCGCAGCAGCGCCTCGCTGACCATGAGGGTCTTGACAGCAGCAGCAGCAACGGCGCGCTGCACCTCTTCGCGCCCGTAGCAGACGAGCGAGCTCTGCTCGTAGCTGCTGCTGCTGCTGCTGCTGCTGCTGCTGCTGGGGAGTTCGTGCAGCAGCGCGCGGCGGGAGTCCTTGTGGTAGGAGTTGTTGAGCATGCGGTAGAGCTGGTCGATGCATGCAGCTTGTCTGAGGGCCTTTGTGTCTGCAAGGAGTTTCTGGACTTGTTCATTTTGCAAGAGTTCGCTGAGAGCGTGTCTGTAGGCGGAGGAGGCGTGCAGCAGCAGCACGCAGCTGCGCTTCTGCAGCACGAGCTTCCGGTCTTGCTGCTGCGCCTGCTGCAGGAAAAAGCTGAAGAACTGTTCCTTGTAGAAGCCGGGGCCTGCAATGATGAGGGCCTTGAGCTGCTGCCAGTCCACGTGCTGCAGCAGCGCTGCTGCCACTTCGCGGAAGAACCGCTGCAGCGCCTTGCTGTAGCCTGCTGCTGCAGCGCGGCTTCTGGGCAGCGCAGCAGCAACGCGGGCCAGGCAGCGCGACAAGTTGCTGCTGACGCACAAGAGGTTGGCCAGGCCGGCCTGGATGAGCAGCACGAGGGCCTCTGCTGCA